TGTTGCGACCAATTCGAGTTGCAACCAGAGTCACGGAACGGATTAAATTCGTAACTCGAGGTTCCACTGTATTTTGATTCTTTTAAATTGACCAAACAGCATACAGTATAAATAAACATCATAATGCTTAGCAAAATTTGTTATCTTTAAAGTTTTTAATTATTTACCTAGGTAAAATTTGGCTTCAAAGAATGGGTCCTAGGAAGAGTAGAGTATGCTCAAGTCAGTGATGTGCCATTGAGCCTGATCTTGCCACTGGTCATCATCCCCATGGTGGCCATTATCATCATCTCAGTCTTTTGCTACAGGTAAGTTCTTATTTTTACCAGCTTATTTGTTGGTCTTACTTGTTGGGCAAATACTAAAGGCAAAACTGATTTTGAGAAAAATGTGGGAGGAATCTATACAAACAAGACTTTCTTTCTCCCCCAAACTCTTCATGCTGCTGCAGAATTTATTCTAAGGATTTAAGGGACTATCCAAAGTAGATATGGGAGCTTTTCTTACTGTCCATTGTCTGAACATATTACACTAAATTGTGTGGGAGGGAGCAAGATAACCTCTTGTTATATATCTTTGCAAGGCAGCTGGTTTTCATTCACATGACACTAAAAATAATGAAAGGCCAGCTTTGGTAGATATTCTCCTTCAAGGAACAACTCCATAAAAGAAAATGTATAACATATTACTTGGAAGATATATGTGAATTTTGTAGTTAGGATATTAGGTTCATCTGCTCTTATTCTCAGAGATCTTTCCTAGAAACATCTGTATTGATTTTTGTTCCTTGAATGTGTTTATTTCCATGAATAAAAAATATTTTAGGCATCACGATTCTTGGGTATTAATCATACTGCAGACATTTTCATGATTTCATTGTACACAAGTATACCCTATGGGTTACTTCCAAAGTATCTTTTCCATATCATAATTTTTAATACCCATGTGCTAAACATTGTAATGTTTTCCCTCTGATGTCAATAGATTTGTAGAAAAAATATATATTCAGAAAAAAAGATGATGAAAACTTGAAATGGTATTTGCATCTGCCTATGTATTAAAAAGTTGAATTAATCTATTTATTGAGACCCATACTGATAAAAGAAAATCACTCTAAATATAGATTAATCTAAATTCATAAACAAGTGTGGTAAAAGCTAGTAGTGATTATACCTCAAACTCACAACAGTAATGTACTTTTGAGTAATTATAATATTAAACACTTGCTTACTTTAGTTCTCTGAGTTGATTTTATAGCTTGATTCTTAACACAGTAAAATCAAGGAGCTGTGTTAATTTTAAGCTACATTAAATTTTCAACCTTTTATTTTTCCTTTCCTTTTTCAGCTTTAAAAGAGTAAGAAAATATAACCCTGTACTTCTAAAGAACCCTCTAACTGTTGTAAAATGATTTATTTTTACAGTTTGTAACCTTTCTGTACTTCTTCTCTATTCCTTATAGACGAAAAAGCCAACAAGCAGAACGAGAATACGAAAAAATTAAATCACAACTTGAAGGCTTGGAGGAAAGCGTCAGAGACCGGTGCAAAAAGGAATTTACAGGTAGGACTGATGCCTGATTTCTTAGGGTCTCCAGAGAATTCACAAGATGTACTGAATCTCTACTACTGTCTGCCTTAAACTGTCTTTTGAGAACACGCAGGAGGCAAAAACATCTTTGATTACTATGTTAACTTAAGTATGGCTTACTCTTCTGGCAAGTGATCCAAAAGCTATCCATAAAAAGAGAATGTATTTTTAAAAATTAACTGCTTGTTAAAGTAGAAGTAAAATAATACATATTGGGAACTAAATCATTGATAAGAAAATCCTCAAGATGTTTCTCTTAGGAGTTAGTAAATCAGTTTATACTCCAACAGAAAATGGATTAATATTTGAAAGTTATGCTGCAGTTGACTAAAGGTGAAAAGGTAAAGTCTCTGTTGAAGCAAGCTCAGTTACTAGTGATTTTATGGACCCGTCCAAGTAGGTCTTTGCAACAATGAAGGTTTGTCACTGCTGCCTTCTGAGTTTTCTTTCAGTGTTTCAGTCTATGAACTGCCATAGTATTTCCTGGTCATCTTCCATGCAAGTACTAACAAGGTCTGTCCCTGCTTAGCCTTTTGAGGCCAGACAAGGTTGATCAAGTACCATCTCACAGTTAGCCTCACAGATGGATAGAGGGTTCCAAATATAATTTAATTTGTAGACATTTATTGAAGTTATGGATTGCCCCCCCCAAAATCTGATAAAATAGAACCAATGATAGAAATTATTTCCTTGCCATTATTAGAGGAGAAGGCATCACCTTCCCCAATATATCTTATGTTAATAAAGAATAAAAAAACATATTTGTATATCTAAGATAGCAATCAAAATAGAAATATACTGTCAATCCAGTTTTCAACAGGATTTAAGGAATGTGACTGTAAGACTGCAGTCTGAGTCACTTCACGCATATGGTGTTCGTGTCAAAGCATACATAACGCTTCACAATCTGGAAGTGACTTATCTGAAAACTTCCATTTGTATGTTTTTTAGACATAACAATTTCACAGTTATGGAATTCAATATCTCTCTTGAATCTATTATGCTCATTAAACATTCAAACTGGCATATTTTAAAACAGGCAAGAAATTCTCACCTCTTTGACTCATGACACTATCTATGATATTCATGTGCCAGTTCTTTGCTGATAATAGTTCAAACTCATTTTTGTGAGTTTGGGAAAATCATACTGTTGATTTAATTTGGCACTATATTGCACACTTAGCAATGACTTCAGCCTACCTAAAGCCATAAAATGTTCATAGGCCTTGTAAGATCATTTTTGGCTTCAGAGCGTATTAACCCTCAATCATTTGGGGAGCTGGCTAGAAGCTGTGCTTAAGTACCAAAGCCCAGTTTGATTTATCACACAAGTAAGGCCAAAAAGCATGTCGTATGCATTGTACTGAAGCCTGATTTTGTTTAGCATAAGGTGCAAACATACCTTTTTGCCTAACTCAGAGCATGCCTATATGTTGCTTTTAATCCTTGCTAGTTTTGTCTAGTTCCCGCTCTCTTTTTTTTGTCTAGTTCCCGCTCTCTTACTTTTCTGCTTTGATCTTTTTCCTTTGCGCTGACCATTCAGTTCTACTATCTACCTCTTTGTCAATAGAGTAACCAGATTTGGACTTCTACCAGCCAGGAAATATCAGAATCTCCGTACATGCTAGGTTGCCCACTGAATAGTCAATTTCTTAATTTTTTTATTGCTATAGTCAACAGTAATTTCTGAGGTGGCAGGCTATTAGATTAATTAACTTGAAGATCTTGTCAGCAATGCAGACATCTTCTAGAATAAATGGTTTTGTAAGGTGACAAAGTAATTGTCCCCTCTGTCAAATTTAAAAGAATTTGGATTGACCTAATGTGTTTTCTCTGATTTCTGTTAAACCATAGATATCAGTCTTAGCTCTGCTGACCATTGAAATACATATAATTTATACTAAAAAAAATAACATATTAATACAACAGATTTATAGAAACAGCACCTATGCCCCTAGACTTTTCTTGTGTTGTCTTCTTTCAGTTATCTGCAATATTTCAGGGAAGAAGTGTGTTTGCTTGTGAGAAGAGAGATGGAAAGAGAATTCACCCTTGGATTCTAATTACTTCTTTTCCTACAATAGCTCCAAACTAATATTTACAATAAATAGAATTTGAGTCACATATCACAGTTCTGAAACAAGAATTTGAAAATTCTTTATAACCACTATATTGCATAACACCCTGTGTATGTTTGTTGTAGAAAAGTCAAATAATTTTCCTTGGTTTCTCATAATGTTAGGTTTTTCTGTCCTATTTCCATATATATAACACAGGCATATGAACCTTTTCTGTAATCTTACCATATACATACATTTTGAAATTACTGTTCCATCAAGAATCTCAAAAGGTGACTTCGCTGAACTTGAAACTTAGCAGGTTTGGTCTAGTTAGTACTTGGGTGAGGCATAACATGGGAATCTCAGGATTGTTCGAATGAGTGTCCAGGAATCTAGTTCAGTTTGATGACAAGCTTCATTTTACTTATTTAAATTCTTCTCTATTCATTCAGTGACTTGCAAGAAATAAACAGATATACTTACAGTACATATACCCATCATGCTGTTATTTTCAGGATAAGCTATGTTATGCAAAGTATTGGGGCGGGGAGCCAAAAGAGTTAAAGTTATGAGTTTTATGGTGGAGAACATAAACTAAATCTAGTTAACATCAATGCCAGACATTATACCTCTCCAGACCTTTATGTTATTGAAAACCATCCTTGTTACTACTGCATGCAAACCCAATATCCTACTTTACTTCTCTGACTTTTTAGAATGTTACCAAACCACAAATTTCTTCCTCTTCCCCTCAACCCATTCATATATCTGTTTTGCACTTTATCTTTATTCTAGCTGTACAGCCAAACCTCTTCAGTGTACAGGCCACTTATTTTTATATACAATTCAGCAACCATTCACGATTGACCATTTCTTCTTGTTTTACCACACACACTTTTAAGTACCTCATCACTGCATTCAATTTACTTATTTCCTGACATGCCCAGTTCATTTCTGTGTGACAAAGTGAACAGAAATATACTCTTATTTACAGCAATTTTCACTTCTTTCGACAAACATTCTTCACAAAAGACCGCATATTACCCACTTTCTACCAGCATTTGCTCATCTTAAAAGTTCTCCATCCACTTCCATCTTTAGTAAACATTCTATCAAGGTACACAACTTCAATCTACTTGCTCTATTTTTTTCCATTTATATATAACTTTGAATCACTCTCTTCATTTTGCCTGGACTTTGGCCCTTGATATATACATTTTCAGATCCATACTCTTCCTTGCATCATATAGTCTATTTACTTGGGTTCTCAGTCAACACCATGGCATCATGCACACAAAAGTGCATATACATTAATGTCACCAACCAGTACCTCTCTAATGTCATCACATAATTTCTTCTATGTTTATACAGCAATACATTAAACAACAAAGAAGAAATCACAAAACCTTGTCTTACTCCCTGCTCAATTTTGAACTATTACCTTAAACTTTCTAATTATTCTCATGCATGCTTTAGTTCATTG